TTTTTTTTGGTGGCAACTTTTTTTTTGGCCAGGCAGTGTATCTTGGAATCTCACAGACCAGTGGCAATCATGAGAAGGCCACAAGAAAGTCAGCCAAACCCAAGTACTTACAGAGAGTAAGGAAGGTCCTGCAGAACAAGCTAAACACCAAGAACAAAGTCCGAGCCAGCAACACGTATGCAGTGCCAGTTAACAGATACCAAGCTGGTATAACAAGCTGGTTAAAGGAGGAGATAGAAGCCACTGATATCAAGACACAAAAGATCCTAACAATGCATTGAAGGTTTGAACCCAAGCCCAGCATCCTGAGATTGTACTGTATACTGAGAGAACGCAGACAGGCAGAGGACTAGTGAGCATCAGAGCCACTATACAGGATGAAACAACTAAGATCCTGGAGTAAATCAGGAGGAAAATCCTCAATGATGAACTGATGAGTGAATATCCCAGGCAGCAACAAAAACCCAATGTGGAAGAAGGAGAACAAGGGGAGCCATTATGGAATGATAAGCCCCTACATGGCAAGTAATACCAGCAGATTGATTTAAACAAATCTTCTTCCATAGCCTAGAGAGGGCTGGACTGAAAGACAGCACAGAGGCATTGATCCTAACAGCACAAGAACAATGACGGCCAGAGTGTACCAGACCAGACCCAAGATACAGAGTCTACCATACCAGACCAGACCTGACCCAAGATACAGAGTTTACCATACCAGACCAGACCCAAGATGCAGGGTGTACCATACCAGACCGGACCCAAGGTGCAGGGTTTACCATACCAGACCAGACCTGACCCAAGATGCAGAGTTTACCATACCAGACCAGACCCGAGATGCAGGATCTACCATATCAGACTGGACCCAAGGTGCAAGGTCTAAAATACCAGACCAGACCCAAGATGCAGGGTCTACCACACCAGACCGGATGTAAGGTGCAGGGTCTACCATACAAGACTTGACCCAAGGTGCAGGGCTTACCATACCAGACAAAACCCAAGGTGCAGGGTCTACCATACCAGACCAGACCCAAGATGCAGGGTCTACCA